TCTTAGAAAAGCAGATGGTTCAGCAAGAGTAATTTGGGCAAAATGAAAAGAAAGTGGAAAGATTTTTGAGAATATTAATTCATTCTTTGGCATGAAAAGTTAGAGGACTTTTAAATCTTCTTCAGAGCTAGGCAACCAGCTTATTAAAATGAAATATACCAGTAGGCCATCATATAGCATTCTTTAATTATAATGCAACACTCATACTCACACAAAATGAATTAAATATGGATTAAAGATATAAATGAGAAAGTACTCAAATAAATACAGGTTGATACACATGTCATATTAAGTGAAAAAATATTATCCCAAAGATAGAAATGAACAAAACCTTTCATGGTTTTTGGTTGTTTTTTTTTTGTTTTGTTTTGTTTTGTTTTGTTTTTTAACAAAGTCATTGGCCAGTCCTCTGCAGCTGTTTGGCCCTACCTATTTCAATGCACTGCCCCATTGAAAACATCACTGTCGGCCGAGCGCGGTGGCTCAAGCCTGTAATCCCAGCATTTTGGGAGGCCGAGGCGGGTGGATCACAAGGTCAAGAGATCGAGACCATCTTGGTCAACAAGGTGAAACCCCGTCTCTACTAAAAATACAAAAAAAAAAAAAATTAGCTGGGCATGGTGGCGTGTGCCTGTAATCCCAGCTACTCAGGAGGCTGAGACAGGAGAATTGCCTGAACCCAGGAGGCGGAGGTTGCAGTGAGCCGTGATCGTGCCATTGCACTCCAGCCTGGGTAACAAGAGCGAAACTCTGTCTCAAAAAAAAAAAAAAAGAAAAGAAAACATCACTGTCTTACCTTATAGTACTTCATCTCCTAATTCTCTGACTCTTCATCCACAGAACTTCAAGGTAGAATTTGCTTTAAATTGTGAATTTGTTCCTGTTGAATTTCATGAAATCCGACAAGTAAAAGCCAGTTTTAAGAAGCTGATGAGGGCTTGTATCCCAAGCACCATCCCGACTGACTCAGAAGTGACCTTCTTGAAAGCACTGGGAGATTCTGAGTGGTTCCCACAGGTAATGCCAGCAACTGCTTCTTTATCTCAGAGAAACAGAGGCCAAGCAGATATACAGAACTGTATTTGAGAAAAAAATACTTTGTTCCCCCACTACCCAACATTCTCCTCCTTTATTGTGTGCCATCTGTAAAGGCCTTTCAGTTTCAGGAAGTCATCTGGTATAGGAGGTGAGGGAGTAGTAATCTTGATCACTGGGTTTTTTTCTCTGTGTAATTGAAAGTTTGGTGTCTGTAGGACACTATTTTACATGGGAATTTTTTATGTTCAATAGATTTAGTCAGCATGTATTTACACGGCTCTTGCCTAGTTGTCAATACAGTAAGGATCCAGGGCAGATGGCATTTTCTGCATGACTCAAAGAGCTCTCACCTTTCATTTGTCTGCTTGTTCAAGGTCTCTAGATTTTAGATTCACCCCCAAACCAGTCACCAAAGGCAACTGGATGCCCCCAAACCTACCTAAGGCTTGTGAAAAAGGTCTGTCTTTCAGTTCATTCAACCTTGGGATATTCTTAATTGGAACTTGTATTGAGAAATTAGAGGGCCTCGTCTTTAGGCCCCTTTATTTCTTATGTTACCCAGGCTGGTCTTGGACTCCTCGCCTCAAGTGATCCTCCCACCTTAACCTCCCAAAGTGCTATAATTACAGGCATGAGCTGCCATGCCTGGCCCCCATTATTTCTCACCACCTTGCAGAAATTCCCAGTCCCCTGCCTCCATCTACTTCTAAGCATCCTGCCTCTCTGAAGGAGGAAAAGGGGTTGTTTCCCACAGCACATTGGACTAAAAGGCAAAAAAAAAAAAAAAAAAAAAAAAAGGAAATGATGTCAGTACCCAGGTCAGTGACTGTTCTCAAGATACTTAAACCGAAGAGAAATGCTGCCACACACATAATTGGCTATAAATGTGTCATGCCGTGTTCATTATTATTAAGGCAATTTAGGGTGCTTTGCATACCCATGGGAGGAACTGATCAATACTCCTTTCTGTCCCTAGGCTATGAGCCCCAACTCCAAACGGACCCCACCACCCAACTTACCCATCCATGTTTCTGATACATTCTGTGCTCTGCTTTTTGCTAGAAAGTGGACCTGTACCAAAAGTTAGGGACTAAAGACAGTGGAAAATAACTGCCCACTTAGGATATTGACATTTTAAAAGTTAAGTCTTAAAGCAAGTTCTTTTTTCAAGTTTTATTTTGGGTTCAGGGGTACATATATAGGTTTGTTATATAGGTAAATTTCATGTCTTGGGAGTTTGATGTACAGATTAGTTCATCACCGAGGTAATAAGCATAGTATCTGATAGGTAGTTTTTTTATCCTCACCCTCCCCTCACCTCCAACCTTAAGTACACCCCACACGTCTCTTCCCTTCTTTGTGTCCATGTGTACTCAATGTTTAGCTCCCACTTAGAAGTGAGAACATGCAGTATTTGGTTTTCCATTCCTGCATTAGTTCGCTTCAGCTGTGTTACTGCAGAGGACGTGAGCTTATTCTTTTTATGGCTATGTAGTATTCCATGGTGTATATGTACCATATTTTCTTTATCCAGTCTACCACTGATGGGCATATAGGTGACTCCATGTCTTTGCTATTGTGAATAGTGCTACACTGAACATATGTGTGCATATGTCTTTATGGTAGAACAATTTATATTCCTTTGGGTATATACTTAGCAATGGGATTGCTAGGTCAGATGGGCCAACTACTTTCCACAGTGGCTGAACTAATTGACATTCTCATTAGCCTTGTTATAAGTGTTCTCTTTTCTCCACAGGCTCGCCGGCATCTATTATTTTTTGGCTTTTTAATAATAGACATTTCTTAGAACAAATTCTGAGCCCAGGAGAATTCAGGCCTGGTGATAGCTATGTTGTAGAAACAGTTATGTGAGGAGCTTCTCATTACTGAGTAGGACATTTGCCTTATTCCTGCGTTTAAAGTAGCCTCGCTTTGTTTAAGATACGGTTTTTTTTTTCATTTTTGTTCTTGTTCTGAGTTGGATTCAAATTGCAAATTATGTCTGATGATAATTAAAATCCTTTTAAAAACTAGAATGTTATACATTTGGTTTTAAAATCTATATGCTTTGTTTCCTGTGATCCATGTTAGAGGAAGTAAAAAATAAATAAATAAAAAATAAAATCTATATGCTATTCTCATACCTTGTTTATTAAGGACTTTGAGCCAACTGATGCAGCTTTAAAAACTTAGCACAAATATAAAAGTTTTCTTCTCATTTAGTACGCAGTACAGACAAATAAGACTATCTTTTTATTTTTATTTTTACTTTTATTTTTTGAGACAGGGTCTTGCCCTGTTACCCAGGCTAGAGTGCAATGGCACAATCATGGCTTACCATAGCCTTGATCTCCCAGGTTCAGTCCTCCTACCTCAGCCTCCTGAGTAGCTGGGACTACAGGCACCTGCTGCCATGCCTGGCTGATTTTTTTATGTTTTGTAGAGATGCAGTTTTAACGTGTTGCCCAGGTGGTCTCCAACTCTTGAGTTCAAGCAGTCCTCCCACCTCAGCCTCCCAAAGTGCTGGGATTACAGGTGTTGAGCCACCACGCCCACGAGGAGTATCTTTTTTTAAACATGTAATTCACTTACCATGAAATTTATCCTTATGATAAAAGCGTACAACCCAATGCTTTCTGGTGTATCCACAACATTGTGTAAGTATCACCACTATCTAATTCCCCCAAAATTAGGAGTATCTGAAATAGAACGTATTGCATCATGGAAAAACAAATTTTAAATCCAATAAAATTCATCTGAATTTTCTTCCTTTGTTGGGAAATCCACATAGAAGCTCTATGTTTTGTACTCTATGGAATTATAGCTCACCTACTTTTGAGGGAATCATATAAGGTCATTTTATTTCATTATGTATTACTAGAATGTATTGTTTTAAAGTGTGTCTGCTTTTTTAAAGTATCATTTTGTTGTTTTATTGAGATGGGGTCTCACTGTGTTGCCCAGGTCATTTGAACTCCTAACCTCAAATGACCTGCCCACCTTGGCCTCCCAAAGTGCTGGGATTATGGGCATGAGTCACTACACCCAGACAAAAGTGTCATTGTTTAATTTTGATATGGAAGAACTTTTAAGTATTTATGTTTTTTCCTTTAATTTTTTTTCTTTTCTGGTTTTTTTTTTTTTTTTTTTTTTAAAAAAACTTTTAAGTGTTTGGTTTTGCAGTACCCATGGAAGGAACTGGTTCTTTTGTCCAAGCGTTTTATCCCTAACTTGTTTGATTATCCAGGGTTGAAAGCAACTCTGACTTGTGTACTCAGAAAGTGCTTGGTCTAATTGTGTTCTTTACTATCTCTTAGCTTCACAGGATAATGCAGCTGGCTGTGGTTGTATCAGAAGTACTTGAGAATGGTTCCTCAGTTTTGGTCTGTTTGGAGGAAGGCTGGGACATCACTGCACAAGTAAATTATTAGACATATTTTTGGATAGTTCATTTTATATTTCCATTTGGTTGTTTCTAAATTCTTCAGATGAATCTTTTATATAATGACTAATATGTTTATGGACAGAGAAAGCCCTTTGTTTAACATCACCTGGTATCCATCAGAAAACTGTACCATGAGCTCTCAGCCCCTACACAGCCTGGAGCTCTGGCTCTGGGCATCAAGCTCTTCCATCCACAGATGTACCCAGCAGGCTTGCAGATGGAGCCCTTGACCAGCAGTGTAAGGCGTGGACCAACCTTCTAGGGTTTTGTCAGTCCATACCTGGCTCTCTATAAGCCCCGCCTTAAGTCTCTCCGGAGTGAAAAGAAACTCTGTGAGTTCGGGCTACATTAAGACATTAATCTGCATCTGCCAAAAAGTAGAATCAATTTGAACTGATCCCCTGACCTCTGATTAACTTAGGAAAAGGTTGCCATCAGCAAACTGGCCACTTAAGGATTAAATTCTTAATTCCCTGAAGGTAAACTTGTAGCCAAAATGAATTTGAGTTTTAGCTTTTACTGGAAAGTTTACAGAATTCATTTTATTGGCCATCCTGGAATGGTTAGTGAACAAATTTGCTGTCCAGGTAACTTTGTGATTTAGCTAGCATCAGCAGGAAGTGCTTTTATCTTAGTAATAGGACTTTTTTTTTTTTTTCAGAACTAAAATTAATGACAAATCCATCCTGCTTGTGCCCTAGGTGACATCCCTGGTTCAGTTACTCAGTGATCCCTTTTATAGGACACTTGAAGGCTTCCGGATGTTGGTTGAAAAAGAGTGGCTCTCTTTTGGTCACAAATTCAATCAGCGGAGCAGCTTGACCCTCAACTGTCAGGGGAGTGGTTTTGCTCCAGTATTCTTACAGTTCTTAGACTGTGTACACCAGGTAAGTAGAGAAAGACGAGTTGACTTGATGTGAAGGAAAGAATACAATATACTAGCATTGATGGAGCATTGCGATGGTATGCCAGGTACCTTCCTGTCAGAATTCTGATTAACTCAGCCATAGGACATGTTGAAATCTTAGCAGTAGAATCCTAGGAATGGAAAAGAAAAAAAACTGGTTGGTTTCTGAAACTGGAACAGCTAAGCTGGCTATTGGGCTTGCCCCAAGTGAAGTAGCCAGCACTCTAAATTACTGCCTTCAAAGAAGAGGAGCAAACTTGGGCTTATTACCTAAGAACAAAATCTCTAGGTAATAAGGGTCCTGAAATCCAGCACATGGTCTGCCCAGTTTGGAAGGACCCTAGCTTGTGCCTGGGAACATAAGAGGTAAAGTCTAACCCCTGGAGAAATAATCAGGGTCCAGTCAGACAGGTGTATAGGCTTGAGAACACTGGTCATTTCTACCACATTGAGAAAATGTGTTTACATATACACCATGGAATACTATGCAGCCATAAAAAAGAATGAAATCATGTCTTTTGCAATGACATGTATGTAGCTGGAGGCAATTATCCTAAGCAAATTAATGAAGAAGCAGAAAATCAAATACTTCATATTCTCACTTATAAGTGGGAGCTCAAGTACATCCATTCAAATGCAGTGACAGTAAGGGAGATGGGAGTGTTCCAGGCTCCCTCCTGCCTTCATCCCAGGCACATCAGATACAGACCTCTGGATGGGGCCTTGGTGAGGATTGGGTTTGAGAACTGGATGGCACTGAGCTTGCAAGTTGAAGACTGAATTGGCCTAGGAAAAGCAGGCCTATTTCCAGCTTTGTTTCATTTGACCACAATCCCTGGGTTGGATGAATGGGTTCTGGCATGTCAAACATATTTGTGGGAATGGTGAGCCTCGCTGAAACACACTGGCCTCTAATACCAATTGGAAAGAAAGGTAGAACTATGTTTTCAGGAACCAGAGATGAAACTAAGTCTTCTGATGACACCGAGTTAGTATGTGGTTATGTTTTGTTTTTATTCTAGTAATCATGTCATCAACTTTCTAAATCACTACATAATTTTTGTAAATAACAGCTTTGTTGAACTATGTATCATACTGTTCTCCTATTTAAAGTGTTCAGTAGTTTTGTATCTATTCACAAAGTTGTGTAACAATTACCACAGTCAATTTTAGAGCATCTTATCACTCCAGAAAGAAACTCCATACTCATGAGCAGTGACTTCCCAACCTTCCACCCCACACACAGGAGGCTATGTTTTTTGTTTTTTGTATTTTTTTTTTAAAGATGGGGTTTCACCATGATGGCCAGGCTGGTCTTGAACTCCTGACCTCAGGTGATCCACCCATCTCAGCCTCCCAAATGCTAGGATTACAGCCATGAGCCACCGCGCCCAGCCTGAGGCTATGTTTTTTACTGCTCTAATTTACTTAGTAATGAAAAGACCTACTGAAGAATTTTAATTGATCTATCCCAGCAGCAACTGGAGTTGCTGGTCACAAGATTAAGTGTGTACCTTTAAACTCTTTGCAGCAAATAGTATACTATATTTGTTTTCTGTTTGAATATTGGCCCTTTTATTCATACTCCTTTTGGCAAATATATGAGGGAGAAGTTTGGAGACCTTTGTCTCTGAAACAGAAAGCTTACCTGAGTCCAAAGGAGAGGAACAAGCATCTCTTCTCACTTCTAGGCAGGTGAAAGCATATGAGTTCCTCATGAAAGCACTTCTTATCATGCTTATCTTTTTATTATGCTTACCAAATGGACGGGGCTATTTCCTGCCTCCATATACCAACCACCATTATTAACAATAATGACTAATATATGTTGACTCCTTACTATGTGCTAGGCACTGTTCTGAGCGCTATACATGTTATTTTAGTTCATAATTATTTGAATCTTTTGCTAACCCTCACCCTCCCACTTCATTTATATTTCTAATGAGTCATGTATAGACTTTTTTGATAGCATCTATAACACTAAGGTATATTGATTTGTAACTATTGCCCTCTACTTAGTCTGAGAATTCCTGGAAACAGGGACTATGTCATACTAGTCTTCATATCCCTAGTATCTAACACAATTACAGTTTCAGTCCCTGGAATATAATAGACAATATATAGATAATATCAGTGAATAAGAATTTGAAAGACCACAAGTCTTGTTCATGCTCATCCTTCATCAAGACCATCTAGAATATCCTATGTAGAACTGCTGGCATAATCTTCCAAAAGCTCAGATGCGATGCTGTTATTCCCCTTCACAGAAGTCTTCAAGGCAAACAAACAAAAACCTTCAATGGCTCCACATCTCATAAAGAATTACCCTTCCACATGTCCAATTTGAATATAAGTGGAGGAAACCAAAATGTCCTATAATAGGTGAATGGCTACACAAACTGGAATACATCCATACTGTCGACTACTACTCAACAATAAAAAGGAATTAATCACTGGCACATGCCGCAACTTAAAGGGATCTCAAGGATGTTATATTGAATGAGGAAAAAAAAAAGCAATCTCAAAGGGTCCAACTGGGTATGATTCCATGTATATAATTTTTTTTTTTTTTGAGACAGAGTATCACTCTCTCCCCTCAGTTGGAGTGTATTGGTATGATCTCAGCTCACTACAGCCTCCACCTCCCAGGCTCAAGGATCCTCTCACCTTGGCCTCCCAAGTAGCTGGGACCACAGGTGCACACTACCACACCTGGTTAATTTTTTGTATTTTTGGTAGACACAGGGTTTCACCATGTTGTCCAGGATAGTCTCAAACTCCTGAGCTCAGGCAATCCATCTGCCTCAGCCTCCCAAAGTGCTGGGATTACAGGCGTGAGCCACTGTGCCCAGCTTATATTTTCAAAATGACAAGATCATAAATTGTTGGTTGCCAGATTCAAGATGGGGAGGAAGAAGAAAATAAGTGCAACTGTAAAGGGGTAGCATGAAAAACAGATGTCCATCAACCAATGAAGAGATTAACAAATTCTGGTATATTAATTCAGTGGAATACCACCCAGCACACAAAGGGAATGAGTATTAATATTATAACAACATGACCAATCTTGTGATCATTATGTTCAGTGAAAGAAGCCAGGCAGAAAAGACTATCTACTACGTAAGTTTATTTATATGACATTCTAAAAAGGGCAAAACCACAGTGACTGAAAGCAAATCAGTGATTGCCTGGGACCAGTGACCAAGGGACGGGATCAATCATCATGCAAAGGGCATAAGCAAACTTTTCAGCATCAGGAAACTGTTCTGTATCATGATTGTGGTGATGGTTACACAACTGTGTGCAGTGAATAAAACTATAAAACTGTACACTTAAAGTAGGGAAATTTTATTATATTTAAATTATACTTCAATAAATCTGGAGGAAAAAAATAACAGTCTTTAATTAGTTAAAGTCCAACATCTCAGTAAACTAGAGTTCCAGAAAAAGAAAACAGCAGCTATCTTGTTTCTATGGAGAAGAATTTGTCTGTCTGGGGCCCAGAAGATGCTTGTAGGTCTGGCTGTCTGCTTTCTGGAAGCAGGGCAGGAAGTAGGCCCAGGGAAATCCCAGTTCAGTACGCAGACTTTTTCTCCATGCTGTTTTCAGTGTCTCTCAAGTCTCATCACTAACCCAGTTGTGCCTGGTGTTCCCAAGTCTAGAGCTTATCAGATTTGTTTTGCTTTCTTGTTTTTTGTTGTTGTTTGTTTGTTTTCAGAAAATAAACCTCTCATCTGTTGCTCTGAAAAGGGTAATCATGTGACTGCATGGGTAGGAAAGGACCTGGGGTCTAACAGCTGCCTCCGTAGACTTCCAACTAGTCCCATGATAGCCTCCATTTCACCTCTGCATTACTCATGCTTGGGCCTCTGTGCCCTGAGCCTTTCTGGGTTTACACAGCGAATTGTTACCTTCTTAAATCATTTTCCTCCTGGCAGGAATCCCAATATAGCTTCTCCTCTTCTATCATTTACTGCTATTTTTCCTTCTATTTTCCATCTTTCAAAAATTGCTGAATTGCTTTGGCCCGACACTATGTTTCCTCCCATTCTTCCCACTCCCTTTTGGGTTTTTACCTCTTAAGAATTCCTTTAATGGGGGAGGATTCCAGGGCAATGAGCTTGTGCAGTCGAATTTGGCTTAAGTTAAATGTACTACTTAATGTGTTAAATCTCTATGTTCAACTCGCAGAATTCTGCACACCTAAACATTAGAGTCAGCAAAATAATGCACTCACAATCAATAAGAGATAGGAGGTTCTCATGTAAGACATACTGTCCTCAAAGATGGGAACATCATTGTCTCCCAAGTATAATAATCCTTACTTGGAATGAAATTCTTATATTATATTGTTGGGGGTGGGGCTGGGTGGGTGGGAGCAGGAGAACTCTAGATGTTGGAAGGTAAACCTGTATTCTGTTAGTACCCCTTAAGTGGTATGATTAAAGCAATTTAACATATGTTAAGATGTAGCATAAATTACATTCCTATTATATTTAGAATATAGTACAGTAGATGCTAAAACTCCAAAATGCTAAGTTAATTAAAAGAATTTGGGGTATATGTTTAATTTATGCTGTTTTCTTTACTAATCAGCTAAATTTAAGATTCATGTTTTTTTTTAGACTATGGAGTTAAAATTCAAATGTTCTATATAAACTGGTTGGTTCTGAAATCAAAAACCAAAGTTCACTTTTAATTAAAGTTTGATTATTTGTAGGTAAATGCTTCACAAACATAAAAAGTAATATTGTTCAGGATCTAAAGACCCTATTAGTATGATTTCCAATCTGGCTATGCCATATTAAATTTTTTTTTAATGAAAACATTTTGTTTTTTAAACAAAGCCTCACTGTTGCCCAAGCTGGAGTGCAGTGGTGTGATCTTGGCTCACTGCAACCTCCACCTCCCAAGTTCAAGTGATTCTCCTGCCTCAGCCTCCTGAGTAGCTGGGACTATGCCATCATGCCTGGCTAATTTTCATATTTTTTTTGGTAGAGATAGGGTTTCACTATGTTGGCCAGGCTGGTCTCGAACTCCTGATCCCGTGATCCACCTGCCCTGGCCTTCCAAAATGCTAGTATTACAGGCCTGAGCCACTGCACCCAGCCCCTTAAAACATAAATTTATA